AACAGTGCTAGCCTGTCATATCTTTTTCTTTTTTTTTGTTTTGTCATGACAAAAAAAGTTATTCTGTCGTATCTGTTTTTACTTTTTTTGTTTTGTCATGACAAAAAAAATTATTCTGTCATATCAACTTGTACTGCTGATGTTACTGCTGTCTGGAGACGTAGAGAAAGACATGCAATTCTCTTCATGTTACGGGAATAACTGAATTCAATTCAAATTCAATTCAAAAATACTTTATTGATCCCAGAGAGAAGTTAGGGAAATTAGGTATTTATGTAAAATAAAGAAATGAATACATGACAGGAAGTCCCTCATTATCATCTGTTTGCTGATTGGCCGGGCGAAGTGACATCATCATCATGTGACCTTTTCCTCCCTCAGCCGGAGAGGATCAACCCGGAGACGAACCAGAAGGGCTACAACGTCAAATCGGACATCTGGAGTTTAGGAATCACCATGGTGAGCTCGCCTCGTGTTTTTAATTCATCCGAAACGTTTTGACCGACCTGAGAGGCGTCGAAGTCTTTGTTCCTGGATTCCTGTCTGCAGCGTTGAAACCGCCTTGTTTCTGTGGCCTCAGATCGAGCTCGCCATCCTGCGCTTCCCGTACGACACGTGGGGGACGCCCTTTCAGCAGCTGAAGCAGGTGGTGGAAGAACCTTCGCCCCAGCTTCCTGCAGACCAGTTCTCCCCGGAGTTTGTGGACTTCACCTCTCAGTGGTACGTTGRTGTCGGGCGGTTCTGAGGAAACGCCCATTAGACCTGTAACACCACAGCTACTGATTAAACCCCCTTTATCTTCCTCAGTTTCATGGTTGTCACTTAATTTGGATTTAATTGAGACTGTAGGAAAGTGTCGTTTGAAACTAGGTTTTCTAAAGAAATGAGTGAAAAGATAAAAACAATCGGTGAGATTTAGTTTRATTTGACTCAAATGTTAAATCAGTAGATTAAACTTTCTCTTCGTTCTCAGGCCTCCATCTTTGATTTGTGTTTGTGTCCACCTGGTATCCATTTTTTAATGACTTCTCTTTCGTCCTCCTGCTGGTTTTGTTTCCTCTTTTCTCTGTTGCTTAGTTACACCTGCAGGTATTAACGAAGTGGGAAGAAGCAGCCTGTAACTGTCAGAGCAGCAAGGCGTTCCTTAATTAAAGACAAACCTGTGAACTGACTGGGTTTTGCACTGAAAGCGATACTTCTTTTTTACTTTTCTGTTTAAACTTGTGGGAAGTGTTTTCAAAAGTCAGGATGTGTTCAATCATAAATGACAAACCTGYTACATTTACCATCGTTTCTGTCACGTTGATGGTTCTGTTTCACTGAACTCTGCAGAAACAGTTTGGTCATYTCTTGATTTTTTTCTGCAGCTTAAAGAAAATCGCCAAAGAGCGGCCGACGTACACAGAACTGATGGTGAGTTTTCCTCCTTGTTCTTCAACACCTTTCTTTGTGTTCAGACTGTAATGGTGTTAATTAGACACAGGAGGGCGCTGTCAGACTGCTGCCTTACGTCTTACACCTCACAAACTGAACACACCAAACTGAGGTGGATGTTACAACTTTGCTCACTTTCTGTCAGAAAGGAACAAAAACAAACARTCAGAAATAAACAAAACATGTCAATAAACAGAAAAAAACACAAAACAACAGAAATAAACAAAAACATGTATACAAACAGAAATAAACACAAAAACAGTCAGAAATAAACAAAACATGTCAATAAACAGAAAAAAACACAAAACAACAGAAATAAACAAAAACATGTATACA